ACAGTCTTCTCCTACCTTCATTCAGTGTGCCCAAAAGAACATGTACAACAGCAAGTATGTCTACGGCAGTTCTTTTCTTGAAAAGTCCATAGCTTAGAGCTAATATTTCTCATCCCTTTCAGCTCACATTTATGCAGTATCCTCACCCAGGGCTGCATCTCTTCCCCAGAGTGTTCACAGAATAGAGTATTTCAGTTGGAAGGGAAACTTGGAAGTTTCAGTTGGAAATTTCAGTTGGAAGGGACCTACAACAATCATATGGGCCAACTGCCTGACCAATTCAGGACTCACCAAAGTTAAAGCACGTTAAGGGCATCGCCCACATGTCTCTTAAACACTGACAGGCTTGGGGCATCAACCACCTCTCTGTGAAGCCTGTTCCAGTGTTTGACCACCCTCTCAGTAAATAACTGCTTCCTAATATCCAGTCTAAACCTTCCCTGGTGCAGCTTTGAACCATTCCTGGGAAGCACTACTGAGGAAAAGGATCTGGGAGTCCTGGTAGATAGCACACTTTCCATGCACCAGCAGTGTGAGCTTGTTGCCAAGAGGCCAATGGGATCCTGGGCTGCGTAGGGAAGAGTGTGGCCAGCAGGTCAAGGGAAGTCATTCTCCCCCTCTGCTCTGCACTGGGGAGGCCACAACTGGAATCCTGCCTCCAGTTCTGGGCTCCCCAGAACTGTTCAGTCCCCCAGTTCAAGAGGGACAGGGAACTACTGGAGAGAGTCCAGCGTAGTGCAACAAAGATGATTAAGGGATTGGAGCACCTCCCTTACGAGGAAAGGCTCAAGGAGCTGGGACTCTTTAGCCTGGACAAGCAAAGACTGAGGGGAGACCTCATTTATGTTTATAAGTATCTAAAGGGTGAGTTGAAGGATGTTGGAGCTGGACTCTTCAGTGGTTTCCAGCGATAGGACAAGGGGCTCAGGCTGGAACAAAGAAAGTTCCATTCAAATATGAGAAAAAACTTCTTTACAGTGAGGGTGACGGAGCACTGGAACAGGCTGTCCAGGGAGGTCGTGGAGATCTTCAAGACCTGGAGATCTCCTCTGGAGATCTTCAAGACCCGCCTGGATGCCGTCCTGAGTGATTTGCTCTGGGCAAACCTGCTTTAGCAGGGGAGTTGGACCAGATGATCTCTAGAGGTCCCTTCCAACTCTGACACTTGTCACTGGTTCCCTTGGGAGCAGAGATCAGCACCTCGTTCTCCACTTCCCCTCCTCAGGAAGCTGTAGAGAGCAATGAGGTCAACCCTCAGCCTCCTCCAAACTAGAGAAGCCCAGAGTCCTCAGCCACACCTCGTAGGAAATGGCTTCCATCTCATAATATTTAAATTAAAGTAATTATGAATTTTTCATTAAATTTTCATACACGTTTGTCATCACTTCAAACAGATTACTGCAAATTGTGTATGTTTCTGCTTCTATTCAGATCAAGACTATAGGGTCTTGGTGTGGTTCTGTTGTCACACAACAGCTCTTTTAAGTATGCTATACTTCAGAATCAGAGAACAATTCTTCAATATATGCAAAAACTGAAACACAACCAATAATTATACTCACACATTGACATTCTCTGTAGTAATGCCACTGTGAACTACTTTTATACAAACAACACATCACATTAAATCCCTTTTTAAGTCATTTGTTGAAGTAAAAGCAATAGCTTTAGTAACAGATTCAGGGCTACCGCCTTGAAATTAGTAGTTTTCCAACTGGAAGAATTTGAGTTTGGATGTTGTGTATCTTAACATGTGTTTGGACACCCTATATCCTTTGTTTCCAAACAAAATAGTGTTTAACGTTGTCAGCCCTTAGTGCCAGTTTCCAGCTGGCATGTTGCTTGTAGCCCATGGAATACATTAATCTGCTCTCCAGTACAGGTTACTTCGCCCTGTACAGTATCTGCTACAGGCTCTTAATCCAAAGGGAAGATGAATAGAAGCAAGAACCACAATTTGGAACCACTCCTGCTACCTGCATAATTATAATTACTTTTTCCTTAAAATAAACAAGCCCCAACCATTATTGTTGCATAGTCACTTAGAATTAGTTTACATATGCACACAAAACCCTACCATCTTTTCCAGAAGGACCGCAATGAAATAAGAGAAGCAATAGTTCTGGAGTCTGAAGGTGGAATAATTGGACAAGACTCAACTTCTGTTTCACTGCACCGGAAAACTTGCCTGACGAGTTAATATTGGAGTATTAAGATGCCATATGTTATCAGATAAGGAGATTCACAAAAATAGCTAAAACATTCAAATTTGTTTCTTTGATCAAGAAAAGTGCTGAATAGGTGAAAACTTTACATTTTAAAACTATTACCAGAGTTACTAGTGGGAAACTTAAAAATCTGCATTTAATCTTGTATTGTTTCCAGTAAGTGGAGGTTTTTAAAGCCAGTGTTCCATAAAGTGCCTGAGATTTCAGATCTTTTTGTACTAAGTGAGCACTAGGATATGCTTGATTTTCTTGAAACTAAAACTTAGAAAATTTGTGCAAATATAACAGAAGACGTATTTTATATCAACTGAAATTAACAACTTAAACTAAAGCCTTCCCTGAAAGACATACAAAAACTGAATTGTGATCACTTTAATGACAAATAGCAAAAACTGCTTTTCTTACATAGGGATTATACAACCACGAGAAACATTTTTCTTTCTGAGGATTAAAACACCTTTATAAATATTTTCTCCATTCCTCTAGCTCCATTTCAAAGGCTTGAAAAGCAGTAGACAGAAAGACTAAACAGTATCTGTAACAATGTGATCAACAGGAAATATTAGCTTCATGTATGCAAACAAAGGCAGACAGATGCCACATCCAGCTGCTGAAAACCTGCACAAGATTTCTATAAAAATGCCATCCCTAAAAATCTCTTTAGGAATATCCATCGCCACTTTAACAAACATGTAAAGTAATAAAGTACATGTAAAGTAATAAATTTCTTTCACTTTCTTTTAATTCAAGAAGTCCTCTGAGATTGCTTAAAAAGAAATTTAGGATCTTCAACCATACCCTATAAAGGAATTTACATTTTTAAGTCTTGGTTTCATCGAAACGGCAGACATAACCCCCAGAATTCATTTCAGTCACTCCGAAAATAAATCTGTCAACTGAACGTAAAAGGAAAAAAAGCTGACTATGTCAGAAAAGCAAAATTCTTCACATTGGTCAATCCCAAACTCTTCAGGAAGAAAGAATATGAATCCTAATGTACATTAAGATAGTCTAGACACTATGTTATTCTACATTAAGAACAAGTTACTTAATTCCTTTCTTTAAAAATAGCACCACATCTGGAGAGCAGGTGTCATTGCTTAAGGGACACAAATGGATATAGGATGATTAAGGTTGCAATAGGCCTTATCAGAGAAGCCAAATCCATCTTTAAAATGTAAGGGTTTTATTTTTACTAACACGAGCAAGGCTTATTTCCATGTAAGCCTTTAGAAGCATGAGATAACCAAAACAGAGAAAAAATCCCCACCTTGACTTTCTGATGCAGTCTTATGATTACAAACATCAAAGTAACAGAGTAGTGAAATGTAACAGATATTAAAATACAGTGTTTGAAAGCCACCTTGCAACACTTCTTAGATAAAATGCATTTAAAAGGTAGATTTAGTCTGCATGACTTAAAATTTACGTTGTCTGCAGCCTGAAACCTCTAGTGTGCTAGGGAAAAAGCTCCACACAAAAGACAAAACATAACTTTTCAGTACCAAGATTGATTTAACAAGAGGTTTTCTCCTTCATTACTATGATTAAATTAGTTTTATAGAAGCTGAAAGAACTTTCTGCTAAGGGCATTTAAGCATCAAAAACTGCACCAGTGGACAACAGTGGATTAGAAAACACACACGCATATCAGAGCATCGCAGACCGAACCAACCGCCTTGTGACCCGAATGGACTCAAACAAACATGGGCAAGAAGGTATTGTGAACTTCACATTTCAAGAGTCACAAAAAGCTTTTTTCCATCATACCAAAAAGTTTTTTCCATTTGGTGTTGCAAGCTTTCCTGGAAGTTGGTTTTCAGTAAGCCAGGAGGAATCAAGCCAACTGCTCAGATACACACCATACTTAGATGTCTTAGCAGTTCAGTAAATATTTAGTGAATGCCAGTTATTGCCCTTAAGATTGTGATCCAATTGTTCCTCTGGACCAGAAATATGCATTGTAGCATAATTGTATTTTGGCACCTATAAATCTATGTAGCTATCATCATCCTGAACACCAGCCTGACACCACATGAACAGCAAGCATCGTCTAGACAACATATATTCTTCACCAAGCTCTGGCAGTAGTTGTGTCACTTGGAAAGGAACACGAAGGAACTGGTCTAACAGTCCATGGCATTCAAAGACATGCAGAAAAGAATCAAGGAGCATGTAATTAAATGCAAAAGTACATAAAATGCACTGAAAGTTCTAGTGAGGCACTGTCTCAAAATCCTGGGGGAGGTTTTTGAACATCACAGATGTAAACGTGTCACTGGGTATACTCAGTTTTCAATCATATCTATCTCTAGGTAGAATTAAACTGGAAGGAAACCATAAACTTAATTATAGCAATGATCAGAATAAAGATTATTTGCCATTCATTGAGCATCCAGCCATCATCTGTTTGAACACTGCCGTGATTTTTTTTCTCTCAAACCCTACCAGCATGGAATTCGCCACCGCACTTGTTAACAGGCATTGCCTACCCTGCAAGCTATGTTTGAAAATGGTCAGCAATCTGCTTCCCGGATTTGTGACGAAAAACTGACAGCCCCAAAGAAAAAACAAAGTACTAGAACACTAGCAGCAACAGTTACTTAGACATTCAAGCCATTGACACAGAGACACTCGGAACAGAGTCATAAGCTTAAGAAACGTATGCAGAAGAGCAAAATCTGAAGACTAGGAGAAAATAAAACAGCCAGAAAGCGCTGAGAAGAAAAACAATTAAGCAAGTCTACAGAAGCACTGTGAAAAAAAACCTACCCAAAGCTCCACTAAAATGCTGCAGTAAGTTGGCAGAACATGCATTCACGATGTGCAGTTGGTGGACAAAAAGAGTTGCTAAAACAAAAAACGAAAATATATTACATATATACTTATAAGATAAACTACAGTCCCCTGAGAAGAACCAAGGCTTCAGAGAGAGTTCATGAAGGCAGTATCCCAGAGCAAAAGGTTAAGCTCAGGGGCTGAGTTATCAAGACGATATAGTCAACCCTATTCTACATATGAGAAGCCTCAAAAGCTAAATTTAGAAACCATATTTGTAGAAAATAAATATGAAGATTCAGATAGATTTTTCATAAATACTTCAACATCTAACTCCATTTATAGTAACAAATATTAAGCACACATGCATCTCTGAAAAATCAGACTAGATATTTCGCCACAATTTAAGATTCTGGATAAAGTTTGACAATTTGGCCATGCACAGTCTGGCCTCAGAAGTGGAGGAGCAGAGAAGTCACAGCCAACATTTCCAAGCCTCTGGGCTAGAGAGCTACTCACAAGACTCTCCTTCCTGTTGACAGGGGTATCAATTTTCTGGTGGAGAGAAAGTTGTTCCTCTAAACTACTTGTAAAACACCCTTTTGTGGAAACCCTCAAGTCACATCAAGAGCACCCACTACAGCACACAGACAATCAGTACGAGAGAACAGAATCACGGAATCTTCATGGTTGGAAGGGACCTTTGAGATCATCGAGTCCAACCACAAAAAAAAAAAAAAAACAAAAAACAAAAAAAAAAAACGTCTCCTTTGATTTAGCTAAATAAAGTTGATTTATGCATAGGGAAATTACTAAGGGTTGGAAAAAGAAATAATAAGCTGGAAGTAGAGAATCGGTGAATGAAAGTCTACAAAGTATTAAGTCTTTGTTTACAATTACAGAAAGAAATATGTGAATTTACAGACAGTAAGAGCAGAAGATTTGGGGCATTTTAAGGCATGCATAGCTCAGTAGGTTGGCAATTCAGTTACAAATGCTGCAGGTAGGGAAGGATTCCAGAACAAGGACACTCGGAGCTGTAAATCCCAGCTGAATGTCAGGTGATTTTGAAATTTTGTGTGGCATTTAAAAAAAAAAAAAACAACAACCAAACAAAAGAAAACAACACCCAAACAGACACAACCCAACAATCCCAGGTACTAGAGCATGCCCTGAACTGCCACATCTACACGTTTCTTAAATCCCTCCAGGGATGGTGACTCCACCACCTCCCTGGGCAGGCTGTTCCAGTGCCTGACTACCCTCTCAGGAAAGTCATTCTTCCTAATATCTAATCTAAACCTCCCCTGCCCCGACTTCAGACCATTTCCTCTGCTCCTGTCATTATTCCCTTGGGAGAAGAGGCCAACCCCCACCTCTCTACACCCTCCTTTCAGGGAGTTGTAGAGGGCAATGAGGTCTCCCCTCAGCCTCCTCTTCTCCAAACTCAACATGTCCAGTTCCCTCAGCCTCTCCTCATGTGACCTGTTCTCTAGAACACTGGCGGGCCGTCCTGGCCCACTGGCACTGGGAGCCGTGGGCAGCACCGGAGGAGGAGGAGTAGTCAGGCAGATGAAGGCAGGCCTGGGCACAGACAGTCCCCTGCAGCAGCCCGGCTCTACCACCGCCGACACCAGGCCAAGCCCCGCGCCCCGCAACGCCGCTGAGGGGAAGGGGGTGAACCGGTTGGGCGGGCAGCCCCCACAGAGGAGGGCGGGAGGGCGGGCAGCGCCATCCCCCCTTCACTTCAGCCCGCTCCGTAGCCGCTCCTCTCAGGAACCCCCAC